CAACAGTTCACTTAACTACACTAAAGAAAGCAGAACCCAAACCAACACCAGAAGAAGAAAACTGTTGAACTTAAACCAACACCAAAGAAACCAACACCAAAACCAGCAGAAGAAGAAACTGTTCAACTCAAACAACATTAAAGAAAGTTGAACCTAAACCAACACCACAGCCAGAAGAAACTAAACCAACACTAAAGAAATTAGAACCTAGACCAACACCAAAACCAACAGAAGGAGAAACAGTTGAACTTAAACCAGTACCAAAGAAAATTGAAACCAAACCAACACCTGAACCAGAACATAAACCAACACTAAAGAAATTTGAGCCCAAACCAACACCAGAAGAAGAAACTGTTGAGCTTAAACCAACACCAAAGAAACCAACACCAAAACCAAAAGAAGAGGAAACAGTTCAACTTAAACCTACACTAAAGAAAAGTAGAGCCCAAACCAAACACCAGAAGAAGAAACTGTTGAACTTAAACCAACACTTAAGAAACTTACACCAAAACAAACTGAAGAAGAAACAGTTCAGCTTAAACCATTTAAGAAAGTAGAGCCCAAACCAACACCAGAAGAAGAAACTGTTGAACTTAAACCAACACTTAAGAAACTTACACCAAAACAAACTGAAGAAGAAACAGTCCAGCTTAAACCATTTAAGAAAGTAGAGCCCAAACCAACTCCAGAAGAAGAAACTGTTGAACTTAAACCAACACTTAAGAAACTTACACCAAAACAAACTGAAGAAGAAACAGTCCAGCTTAAACCATTTAAGAAAGTAGAGCCTAAGCCAAAAGAAGAAGAAACTGTTCAGCTTAAACCAGTAAAGAGAGTAGAGCCTAAACCAACACAAGAAGAAACTGTTCAACTTAAACCAACACCTAAAAAACCAACACCCAAACCAACAGAGGAAGAAACTGTTCAACTTAAACCAATTAAGAAAATAGAGCCCCAACCAACTCCAGAAGAAACTGTTCAGCTTAAACCAGTAAAGAAAGTAGAGCCTAAACCAACACCAGAAGAAACTGTACAACTTAAACCAACACCTAAGAAACCAACACCCAAACCAACAGAGGAAGAAACTGTTCAACTTAAACCAATTAAGAAAGTAGAGCCCCAACCAACACCAGAAGAAACTGTTCAGCTTAAACCAGTAAAGAAAGTAGAGCCTAAACCAACACCAGAAGAAACTGTACAACTTAAACCAACACCTAAGAAACCAACACCCAAACCAGCAGAGGAAGAAACTGTTGATCTTAAACCATTTAAGAAGGTAGAGCCTAAACCAACACCAGAAGAACAAAAACCAACACTTAAGAAAATACAACCTAAACCAACACCAGAACCAAAAGAAGAAGAAACAATACAGCTTAAACCAACATTAAAGAAAATAGAGCCTAAACCAACACCAAAACCAGAAGAGCCTAAACCAACACCAAAACCAGAAGAGCCTAAACCAACACCAAAACCAGAAGAGCCTAAACCAACACCAAAACCAGAAGAGCCTAAACCAACACCAAAACCAGAAGAGCCTAAACCAACACCAAAACCAGAAGAGTCTAAACCAACACCTAAACCAGAAGAGCCTAAACCAACACCAAAACCAGAGGAGCCTAAACCAACACCAAAACCAGAAGAAACTAAACCAGAACAGATCATTGAACAGAAACAGGATCAGGTTCCATGGAGAAAGACTATTGTTCAGGAGGAAATTAAAACTGTTCAGCTACAACCTACACCTATTCCAGAGCGTCCTGAAACCGCACCTGCTGCGCCAAAGCCTGTCCAGCAGCAAGCAACACAGCAGGTGACACAGCAAGTCACACAGCAGATGACACAGCAAGTCACACAGCAGGTGACACAGCAGGGAACACAGAAGGTGACAAAGGTAGTGACACAGGAGTTTACTGAGCCAGAAAAGACTACCACTATGATTGTTCAGAAAGTCTCACCCCAGGTTATACAGGAAACCACACAACAAATTACACAGCCAATTCAGCAACAAATCATTAAAAAGACAGTTGTTCAAGAGACCCATACTGAACAGCCAAAAGAGAAAGTGACTGTACAGAAGGTCACAACTGTTGCAGAACCACAGCCTGCTTTACAAACAACTGAAGAGACCATAGTAATGAAGCAACCAAAAATGACCCAACAGACAGCTAAAGTTTCAGAACAAACTCAGGTGATGCAGAAGGTTTCTGTGCAGAAGACACAAATACTACAACAAGAGAAGGTCACAGAAGAAAAGCCTCTGATAACCCAAGAAGTTCAAGAAGTCAAGAAACCTAAAGTTGTTGCAGAGAAAGCTATGATTATTGAAGAACCAAAAGTTCTAAAGAAAACTACAGTAATTCAACAGCCGACATTGGTCCAGCAGGAAATTATGACTGCTGAAAAACCAGAAGAAATAAAAGAAGTTACTACAAGAATGGAGACAACAAAAGCTGAAATCATTCAAGAACCAGAGGTGCTGCAGACAACTGTAGTGCGAAAACCAGTTGTGGTGCAAAAAGAAATG